TTTTTGCTTTCATAGGTTTTACTTAATGTCCAGGTCTGGCACTGGTAGCATAATGCTGATGGTATGGATATTGATATGATAAGCTGTCTCTTTGTATCCATAGAGATTTTTGGATGAGATAGGAGGGGTGCGAGCTGGTGGGTGACAGCGTTGGCTTTTTGAGCTTGCATTTCTATTTCTCTGTCTATGGACCCATTTTCATAAAAAGTACTGCCTAGATATTTAAAGTCCTTCACCTGTTTCAGTTGTTTACTATTGACATGGATGTTCAAGGGACTACGGTTAAGGCTCACTTTCATAATTTCGATTTTTGATGTGCTTATTTTCATGTTAAATTTCTCGCAGCTGCTGTTCAGTTCGTTAGTGGGATTTTAGAGGCTTTGTTGGCATGGATGGATAAGACATCGGCCGTCTGCGAATAGAAGTACATTTAGGCTTTCTGGGCTTTGGTTTGCATCTTGCGTTATTGTGCCTATATCTTATAAACAGGAGGGGAGATAGAATGTATCCCTATCCTACTCCAGATCTTACTCTGAACCAGTCTGTATTGCCTACCTTCGTTCTTACTGAGCTTCTGCTGTTGGTATATAGAGCTCTGACTTCATCTAACATTTGTCCTCTGATGCCATACTTTTTGAGTGTTTTCCAGAGTTTTTCATGGGTTACTCTGTCAAAAGCCATCTCCTGGTCTATAAAGACGATGTTGGATTCTTTGTTAATAATAATAATAATAATATATAACATTTATAGAGCGCATTTCCAAAAAAAGTAGCTCAATGCGCTTTACATTGGAATACCCATTTTTCAAAAACCTTTCTTACTACTTCCTTTCTTCTCAAGCAATATACATTAATGTTGTGTTTGATTGTTTTCTCGCATATCTGTCTTAATGGGAATACAGCATCCATGCATCCTCTTCCCTTTCGGAATCCAAACTGAGCTTTGCTCAGATTTCTCTCTACAATAGGTCTTATCCGCTGTTCTAGTATCTTTGCGTATATTTTCCCTGCATGGCTTAACAAAGAGATACCTCTGTATTTTGTGCAGTCGCATTTGTTTCCTTTCTTTTTCCATAATGGGACCACTATAACTTTCTGCCAGTCATCCTTTGCTCACAGACTCTACTGAAAATTAATTTCGGCCACAGTACACTGGTGTTTCCACAAGTTGTTATGGTTTCCACTGTGATGTTATCTGGTCCTGAGGCTTTGTTATTCGAGCTGGTTTTGAGTACCTTTTCGATTTCACTGAGAAATATAGTTGGTTCTGTTTGCTCTCCATATCATGATGGTTGGAACTCTTCTTGTTGTCCGTGGCAAGCGTCTGGGTTGAGTAGTTCTTGGAAATAATTTTCCCATCTTTTCCTAACGGTATGCTTGCTGAGAATGGCATTACCCTCTTTATCGTTTATAATGCATGTCGGGTTGTATGGGTCTTTCCTCACCCACATGCTGTTCACACTTTTATAAAGCTCTCTAGGATTTTCCTTGCAGATTTTGGTCAGTTTCTCGCCATATATTTTCCATGCATTTTCTTTAGCAGTTTTGATAATTCTTTTGGTCTCTCTTCTCGCTTTCCTGTATTCTCTATATTTTCTAGTTTCTCTATATATAATCCTCTTCGATCTTTGTTCTTGAATATCTTCTTTTTCATTTTAATTGTTTCTTTGGTTTCGTCATTCGACCAGCATATTGTTCTGCCTTTGTTTCCGCCTATTTGTTTGGTGCCACAACTGTTTTTCAGTATTTCTGACAGGGATTTTTTAAATGTTTGCCATTCGTCTTTTACTTCTTTGGTCTCAGGTGACAGCTTATTGTACTCCCTAGTAATGTCATCCTTGGTTGCCTTCTTGATGTCTCGCTCTTCCAATTTTCTTGCGTTGTTGTTGGTTTTTCCCCTGTTCTTCTTTGTTTGCTTTACATTACATTGCTGGTTGTGAGAGTAAGTTCCACAGGTCTGTAATTCGTGTCGGTGATGTGGTTTGGAAGTGCTCTCAAATCTTTGGCTGTATGTCTTTGTTTTCTGTGCATCAGGATGAACTCAATTTGTGGTGCATGGTTTAAGTTATTCCATCTGAACACCAGGTCTTGATCTGGCTTAGTCTGTGTTGAAAAAATGTGTTTGTAATCATCATGTTGTTCTCAGCGCATTGATTCTCCATTTCTCCATTGCTGTTGCTTTATCCAACTCTGCCATTTTAATCTCCCAAGATAAATGTATCTTCTTTGTTCTTGATGGTGTTAATTATGGTCACTCAGGTCTTGGAAATGTGATTCCTCTGTATAGCTGTCGTTGTGTAGGGGGCGTATGTTTGGATTACGTTGTTGTTTTGCAACCCTCTATGAGTTTTGTGCTCACTATTCTCTCTGAGATGTGGTTGATTTCATAGATTATATCCATTTTGGCTGGGTGTATGTTTGGCTCTCTCATTTTCAGGTGTTCCGCTCCAGATTAGGAGTTGGCCTTTATGGGTCAGCTTGCTGTGGTTGCCTCTCTTCCTTTTGTCTGACAAGCCCATGATTGTTATTTTCTTTCTTTCCATAAAATTCACTGTTTCTGGTTCTTTGTCTCCAAGTCCGGTTACATTCCATGTGCCTATTTTAATCGTTGTTCTAGCTTGCTCTCCGGTTACTTTTCCTGGTCTTTTCCTTTTAAATTAGTCCGTTTATACTCCTTTGTTTGCCTCATAGCATGAGTCAAAATAATGAAATCCGAGAAATCGGCATTTTTTCGGCCAGTTTGGACATTTATTTGGTCGAATTTATTTTATTTTTTTTATTCAGCCCCTTATATGCTCATTCAAAAACACTTTTATGTGTGGATTTTATGGGAAAACGTTGACTAAAGGCATCACAAATGTAAATTTGCAGTTTCCAAGGACTATTAAGCTATGGAAGTCACCAAACTTTGGCGGTCATTTTTCCGTTAATTTTCCTTCTGAAACCAGGTGACCCCATTTCCTTCAATCGCAAATATCTCGACTTCTATTCAAGATAATAATAAATAATAATAGATAGCATTTGTATAGCGCAAATCCCCGCTCAACAGCAGGCTCTATGCGCTTTACACTATATTATTACCCCAGCAGACCATAGAACACTCCGAAACATTCTCAGCTTCCCGGGAAGCATACAGTGCAAGCAGCTGATTAAGCGCTCAAACACTAACATACTGACAAGATCTTTCGCTGTCTATAGCCGGGTACCCATTCCCACCTGGGTGAAGTGAGGAAAATTCGTGTAAAGTGCCTTTCCCAAGGACACAACGTCGGGTCCCTGACGGGATTCGAACCCACGACCTTACGGTTGCGAGTCCGAGAGCATAACCACTAGGCCACCGACGCCGGAAAGATAAATGGATATTTTTTTCCATCGGAATCAAGGCAAATGAAAAACCTTTAAGATGATACCAATAACTCCGTTAACCAAAAAATAGACGAACGCCTGATTCCACTGCGTCGTGACCTATATGTCAAATTTTTAGGTTGGGTTTGTCCAATTTATTAGTTTGAAATTAATGGTAACAGACATCTTAAACTTGAAGAAAATGGCATCAGTTGAAAATTTGGAAAACTTACCCGCTTGTCAATTTTGGCCGTTATGTCTCCAGGGACGCAAAGAGGCAGCTTATCACTTCAATATTTACACAAACATAATGCTACCAGTGCCAGACCTGGACATAAGTAAAAACCATGGAGCAAAATCGCTGCATGCAAGATGAAAAACCTTTAACATCACAAGAAGAGACAGGCAGAGAAATGAAGAAGTAAGGGCAACTATTGGCATAGAATCCTGCCTGCATTTAAAACAAAGAATAGAATGGTTTGGCCACCTGTTATGAATATCACCTAACCAGCCAGCCAGCCAGCCTTGAGAGCCTATAACACCAGGTGCTCAGGCTATAAAAGAAGAGGAAGGCCATGCAAAAGATAGATCGAGGGAGTCAAGGAAACCTTGAGAAATTATAACATCCATGGAAAGAGCCTGCATCTCCCCTCAACACTTAACGGTAACAGAGGATGAAAAAGTAAAAGTAAAAAGTAAATGTATACATATATTTGCAGAGTGGGAGAAGTAAATTACTTTCTATGCACACCTCATGCCTCTGTTTGTTAGCTTTTCTCTTTTATTGAATCTTGTTCAATGCCTTGATGATTCATACTCTGGATGAGGTATTTTTCCAAAGGAACACAATTAGATTTAAATACATGTAACAAATGTCGTGCAGGTGGGGAGCCCCATAGTTTTATTATGGGGGAGGAAAGAACTTACCATGATACTGCATGTCGTAAGAGGCGACTAAAGGTACGTAGGCCTTGGTATCCTGTAAAGTGCCAGTGACCCGAAGTTACAGAAACTCGAACAAACATGCCTTATTATTTTTTCCATTTTGGGAGACGATGGAGCTTCTGTATCAGCAGGAACAATAAAGGACTGCGGACAAAGCCGAAAGGGGATCCTGGAGAAGAGTCACAGAAATATAGATGTACAGAAAAGTGGGAAACATGAAATAACATCAAGCGGCTAGCCCAGAATAGGGAAAGGTGGAGATTGTCTGTTTGTGGCCTATTTATTGATCCAGGGTGAGAAAAGCAATGATGATGACATGTAATAAAAGTGGTTCAACCTGAGCTGGAATTTCTAACTCCAGGAAAAGGTATTTTTCCAAAGGAATACACTCAGATAATGTATCCAAAGTAATAAGAGCGGTTTGACCAGAGCTGGATTTTGTTACTTCAGCACGAACATCTTTCCTTGATGCCCAGAACTACTCTGTTTACACGTGAATGCAATCCTGACATTTTGTTTTATGATGCTGAGAATTGACATTATTATCTCTTGGCTTTTGAGAGAGACTTAATCACCTAAACGTATATTACATTGTACTAAGAATGTAAACAGGAAACAAAATGTAGACATTATGTTAACAAATAGGGTGGCTATTGTCATATATGGTTTTTAATGGTGTAACAGTGAAAATGTTATTTCGTAATGTTTCAGATAAGACTGAAGGAAATCTTTGAATCCAAGTCTCGGATTTTTCTGGTTCAAGAACTCGTCACAGGTGGTGAACTCTTTGACAGGTATAGCTTCACTGAACAGTGTATAGTTTGCAATATTGTGTTGTTTATGCTATGTGATAAGGAGCTATGAGTAGAAACTCCTGTAGCTAGTCAGTAATAGATCGTCAAACCTATGCTCAGCTGCCATAGTAATGAACTGTGATTTAAGTTTTTTCCCCAAATCTATAGCTTATTATTATTTTGGAAGTTTCTTGAATAGCTAAAGTCAAACTTCGTGAAACCACCTACTTTGGGACAAACATGTTGTTGGCGGTACACTGGGGATGGCAGTATAACGGAATGCCACCGATTGCCATATTGACTAGTACAGTGGTAGATTGGTAGAGACTATATAAATAAGATGTTGTCTGTGTCGAGTCTTGCCTCATCTAGATCTGTCTTGTATGATTGCCATGCGCAGGAAAAAAAAAACGAAGCAACTAATTACATGTACAACTCTAGCTAAACTTAAAGTAAATTTAAATTGTAAAAAGCTAGGATCAGAAGCTAGGCTGTATGTGTCAAGGACTCTAGACTCACACATTAAAAAAATGATAAAACATGATGATGAATGAAGCTCCTATCGCTTGTGGTGATACCCAAAAGGCTTACAAAAACGGTGAAACATTTTTCTGTGGCTCAATATAAGGATTTTCCGGAACGAAGTCGTTAGGCCCCCCTCTCCCCTACTGATTATTGATTTTGACTTTCTGATTAGCTCTACTTGCCTATTTTTTATTAAAACGAATGATGAAAAAATTATTGGATTTGAATAATTATGCGCCCTTTTGTTTGTTACCAATTCATAATTTTTATTGCCATGCTTTCATCTTAATATTAAATCAAATCAATAGAATAGTCAATGTTGGCACCTACTCGGAAGCTGAGGCATCCAAAGCAGTGCAGGATATCATCTCGGGACTCATGGTGAGTTAAAAGCATTCTTTTTACTTGATTTTATAATTTTTATTTTATTTCTTAAAGTCATTTCTATTTCCTGTGATGCCCACTTCATGAATGTCTGCATGTTGGGGCCTATTCTCATAGACATAATACAAGGATTATTTGAATTTTCAACCTCTGGCACCTCCAATGTACAACAGTATTTGTTTGAGTTCCCAGATTTTTTAAGAAACTTATTTAGATTGGTATAGGGCTTTTATGTTTAGGCTTACTAGTGGTGAAATACTCTCTTTCACATAGCTCATTTTCTGCCATTTTTGCCGTTGAAATTTTATCCAAACTTTAACAATAATTATAATTGTTCTTGTCATATTACAGTATCTGCACAGTTGGGGAATTGTTCACAGAGACTTGAAGGTAGGAATGGAAATAAAAGCGGAGAAATAGAGGGTGTTAAAAAAAACAAACCCTGTACAACTTGTTTTGTAAATATCGTCTTTCATACAGAAGTTTTGCTTTTCAGATTTGAACATAATATTTGGAAGTCAAAAGGAATTTGTCTGATATTCATTTTGGATAAGTCCATTGAATGGTTTTGCTCATAAAAAACAACAACCAGAACTTTCGTAACATGACGCACCGGTTTGTATTATGCCTACCACTAAACGTTGCAATAATCGTGCCATATTGCAAGCTACAGCAGTCTAACTAGTCAACAGTAGTCTGCAGATATTATTTTTCCCAAATTTCTTTTGCCTGCTGAGATCATGGTTAAGTTTAGTAAAGAGCGGGGAGTTTTTTGTATCGAACATTATATCTCCACAAACTCACCATCCCTGACATTTCGTAAGTTCAGCACACGGCATGGAAAGAA